TTTCCACGTTAGACGCGGCTAGTTTGAAAGGACATCGAGGACCAAGAAGGGCTTCAGCTGGTGGAGGATTCGGTGAGACTTGGACGCTAGTCGAGACAGGACACTTATTTGTCAGCGGTGAGATGACGGCTGTTCCGTTATCCGCCACATGGGGACGCGCTCGATAGCATGCGGCTCTGCCCTCCCGAGAGGGTCGGTAGCTAAGCGAAAGCTTAGAATTATCAAATTTTCGGTTGCAGAAGCGTTCGTTCTTTTCTTTTTCGTTTTATTATATTTCACACGCGTCTAGTTCCAGACTGTGTGCCAAACAAATCACAATAATCTTTATAAAAAGGACTAATTCCATGATTTTCTCAAGGGCTCGATGCTGCCAGGTTGCCCAGGTCAAGGTAAGTGAAACTTCTTTGGAATTCCTAACCAGAGCCTCAAGCTAGCCAAAACCCATCCCGTGAAACACTCGGGCGATGTGTTAGGAGGCCGGTAACTAGTTCATCAGATCATACGCTCTTTCGACAGGGTCTAATGCCCAAGGTGCCCAATACACCTCGATACAAAATTGAGTTGGTGACCACCATCACAACCAAAAAGGCGTCGATAGGTGTGGTTCATATGCCTCCTCTTAGTTGATTCACAATCAAGGCTTTCACCTAACTCCGCTAAGTGAACTGCCAGTGGTCCACCAACCCGTCTATAGCCCCAGATGTTGGCTTTTCACCCTCTCTCTTTGGTGCGAAAACACCGCCACGATAAGGCCGTGAGTAGAAATTCCTCAGCAGAGGCCATTTGAGCCGCACTTGGTCTTATGGGAGCATTTTACGAGGTTCAAGGGGACGGTGACCAACCGCCACCCTAGACACTCACTCCCGACCATACTGAGGCCCTCTAAAACCTTATTTGTCGTTTCGATGAACGGATTATTCTTATTTTCTCGTCAAAACTATCTATGTATTATTCATCCTCGATTCATAGTCTTGTTGACTTTTCTTCCAGAATGTTGCATAACTGTCCGCACGTGATCTGAAAAGCACCGCCCCACCCCTTGTCCCGGTGTACAACAATGGCACAATCGACAAACGCAGTTGTGCCAAACTATGGAATCCTCGAACCCTCCGGTGATAAAGTGATCATCTCAGTCTCTATCCGAGGCGTTAAGCCAGCCCAGAAATGGGCATTCTTCGCGAAAGACCCAGCCGAAGCGGCCAACGGGGATGTGCTCGTGGATTTCAAAGAGCGCGAATTCTGCTTCGAGTTTATCGGAAAAAGTGACCTATCGGGAAAGCGATATCGACTGCGATTGTGTGACTTGCCTGGTGAGTTAAACACCGGACGATGTCAGTGCAAAGTGCGTAAAGATGCAGTTTTAATTGTGTTGCGGAAGAAAGATTCGAGCCGTTCATGGCTCTCCGAACTGTCCGATATAAACCCGGCTGATGATTAGCGACTGTCCCGACTGACTGGAGAAACATCGCAACAGTTTAATGACTTTTTAATCTCATTTGCTAACTTGCTGTTGTGCAACAAACATCGCGATCGAACTAGTTTATCTTTTTTTCCCTGCCTCTCCTGACCCGGACCACTGCTACTTTCGTTACTTAGCTTGACCTGCCGGTCAAATCTCGCCTCACTTACGTATAATGCCTTTATTTTTTGTACCCCGAACTAAATCTCGCATCGTGTGACGCTGCCCTATGAAAAGATCTGTCCTCTTTACTCTCTCTCTTTCTCTCTCTCTGTATGTGTGTGCTGTCTGCCGACCCCCTCCCCTGTTTTCTACGACACTATTTACCATCATGTGTATATGCTTTCCGGACGTAATTTGCATTTCCACAGTTATTTGCTCAGTCTCTCCCTCTCTCTCTTTTCCGGGGATAATCTGATTCGTGGGCAAAACAAATCGCCGAAATTCGTCATCGATGACATGGACTGTATGATTGGTGCCAAGGATTGACCAAACAGTTAAAATTATATGCGCTTATGGTTGATACTAAGCAGCAGTTCAATCGGGGATAGTGTTTATTGGATGAATAGAAAGAGATAAGTGACACGACGACAAATGTGTTGTGGTGGACAACGCGACCCGGTAATACAAACGTTTTCATTTTAGAAACTGATTTGAATGCCATCATTATGTTATCTATTTTCCGCACTTAAACCAGCACTTAGATCCGGTATTCAAAGGTGGATTTCACTCTTTGGTCGCTTAGAAACGTTCCGTAATCCCGAAGTGTATTGTGTTTGGAGGAAAGCATTTAGGTTAGCTTTGATTGGTGGTAGCGTAGTGTTTTAATCGATATACTTTGGGCCCTATATGGTCCGAGGGTAGTATAACTTGATGTTCACTTGTTCGCCGAGCTTGGCAATTGTATTACAAACGTTTCATCCAGGTAACATTTTGAATGCACTAACTGCATTGAGAACATCAAGTTATACTACCCGTATCGGACTGTCGTCCAATGGTTGAGTGACTCGTAGATACGAACCCCAAATCCGATTCCGGATAACGAGAAGTCGGTAATCTTTGTGTACTATAAGCAGACAAATATGTACAAAACCAAACACCGTACCTCAAATTGTGGGCCAATCCGGTCTCCACGGTACAAGAACGAAATACAATGCAGGTCAAGGCGCGGAATAAAGCACCTGCGGAGCGGTCACCCAAAAGAATGCAAACTCAGCTTAGAAAAGGGATGATTTAAGGGATAGAAACACCAATCGCAAGTGCTCGATAAAGAAGCGCAGTCATTGGTCAATGCAAGACACACAAGCGGTTCACGCGATCCTATAAAACAAAGCAGTCCACTAAGCAAGTGAAGCGAATCATCGAATATGAAGGTCAACATAAAGAGGATGGGATGACAATGTACTAGAACGAAAACGGGTGGGGATCCGGGGTAGTTCGTATGTAATGACGCCCCAGAATAGCATGCGTGGGACAAAGAGTGTTCAAGGGCGGTAAGGGTAGAGGACGCACAAATGAGAAGGACCAGGAACGGTTAGAGGCGGTATGAGAACAATAACAACAAAGTACAAAGTATGTCGTCGGACCAAATCGGGGCATGATGATGGGCAATGGTCAAAGGTCATCTGTGTAATGGGTCAAATGAGTGCACAGTTAATTGAACCGAACCGGAGCAAAATCTGTGGTGTGATTATTTTTCCAATCAGGTCGATACACTACCCGAGCTACAAAAAACAACAATCAACACCGTTGTTTACAAAACTGTCATTCCTTTTCGGGCGTTCAGCGCTCAAAACCGTTCATCGATGGGAAGCTTTCTTCTGTCGACAACCTTCAACTCTCGAGCAGCTATATTTTCTACTCGAGTGCTTACGAAACAACGTCCTCACGTCTAGCGTTAGTCATCGAGCATCAGTCAAACACCCAGAAGCCTGGAAAATAACGATTCGATGTGGTAGAAGTGTGGCCAGAATGATGATTACCGATGCTCATCGACGTCTACATAAATACGACAACATCGTGAGGGAAGAGACAATAACTTACGAAAGTATACTGGACAGCGAAACCCTGAAAAGTCTACAAGTAGCTATACAGAGAAGAGTCAACAGCACAATGGCAAAAAGGAAAAAGTCGTTAGCCAAGAAACTTGAGAATTTGTTTAAGCACAACGCGACTAAACAACACGACGCCTGGATCAAGAACCTTTCAACACGTCCAATATCAAACGAAGAAAAAGAAGTTCTCATCAGAGGACTCCACTTCAATGAGAAAGATGCGACAAAGAAAGATTATTTGTCGGAATCAGAACATGCCCCAGAGGCCACCGGGTTATCGGATAACACCAAACAACAAATATGGCAGACCATCGTTCCGATTCCGACCCGAAATAAACAATTCAATACACTCTCAAAAACCAAAGAAAAAACAATCAGAACACTGAGCACGTACAAGAATATCATCACCCTCCCGGCGGACAAAGGAAGAGTGACCGTGGTAATGGACAAAACAGATTACATCAGAAAGGCAAACGAATTACTCCAAGACGCAACTACCTTTAGTAAAATGAACATGGATCTAACTTTAAAACTCGCCAGCAAAATCAACACAACGCTGAAACAGTTGCACCAAATTAGCATAGAAAAACACCCGAGAATGAGAGCAGACGACTCAGATACGGCTCAATCCTACGGACTACCAAAAATACACAAAGATAATGTGCCCCTACGATCAATAGTCTCGCTTCCCGGTACACCAACCCACAAACTGGCCAAAGAATTGTGGTGGAGACTGAAACCTCTCATCGCCGGCTACGAACATTCCATCAACAACGCCAAACAGTTCCTAGAAAAATTGAAGAATGTAAATATCGATGCAGATGAAATAATTATATCATTCGACATCACTCCATCTCCATCAACCTCGATTTGGCCAGGGAAACCCTCAAGAAGCTGCTAGAAGAATGACAGGTACATCAAACACTGGATCACAAATATATCTGTGAGCTGATGGACTTATGCCTACAAACATTCTTCGAATTCGATGGTGAAATCTACGAATAGGTGAAAGCAACATCCATGGTTTCACCGATTTCCGGATTCATTGCTGAACCGTAATGCGAAAACTCGAAAGGACAATTCTATCACAACTCCAGCCTTAACTCTGGCTTAGATATGTACACGACACGTTCGTGATCCTGAAGTGATCGGAAGTGGGCAAAACTTTCAACAGCATCAATAATATCTTCCCAGATATCAAGTTCACCATGGAAACGGAACAAATGACAAATTGGCATTCCTCGATATCCTAGTAACAAGATCACTTTCCGGCCCGTTAGAAACATCAGTGTACAGAAAGAAAACCCACACTGATCAAATCCTGGGATACACCAGCAACCACCCAACCTGTCACTAAAAGAGTTGCATTCAGACACTTTTCGAAAGGGCCAAAACACACTGTTGCACAGAAAAGTTGAGGCAACAAGAGGAAAAATACCTCTCAAGTATTTATCTGCAACGGCTTTACCCGCAACTTCGTCAAACGGACAATAACTCGAATACAACGCACAAGGACAGATGGACAACCGAACAAAAGAATGACCTTACCGTATTTGAAGAACATTTCGGAAATTACCACAAGGATACATACAACATTCAAGTCACCCACAAACAAACGACGACCCTACGGAGAATCTTATTGCAAACCAAGAAGGAAAAAGAAGATACAAATAGAACAAATGTGATCTACCGCATCAATTGCAAGAGCTGTAACAAGCACTACATCAGTCAAACAGGGAGAAAATTTGCAACTCGCGTGCAGAAACAAACTGGCCATCAAAAACACGATGCACTCTCACTCATCTCAATTCACGAGAATCAAGAAGGAAAACTTCGATGTCGAAAACACCGAAGTCTTCGATCAGGCCCGTACCAAGCACGCAAGAGAATTTCTGGAAGCTTGGTATTCATCGGAAAACTCGGTCAACCGACACATTGACATCGATCAAGTCCACACCCCCATGCAACAAAAGGACCAGTCAGCGCAACGAAGGTGGGTCGTATCACACGTCACAAAAGGAAAACAATTAGACTGACCGATCAACGGCCAGCCGTCAGGCTGCTCGGGTCCACCTCATCCCCTATCGACACAAGGCGAACAAACATCAGCCAATCAGGTAACGCCGCATCTCTACATGACTCAAGGATCTATTTAAGAAAAGGGACACTCGTAAGCGCTCACCCAGTTACTGCATTGAGATGCCACCGCGATTGGTAATGAAACGTTTGCACTACAATTGCCAAGCTCGGCGAATATATATATATATATATATATATATATATATATTCAAGGGTATTAGTAAACTAACGCGAAAAGAGTTTTTTAAATCTCGGTGTATAATTTTTGAAGCATGCGCGCGAGATCTCTGGTTGAATGTGTGCCTCACCGTATTACCAATCGCCTTAGGTTTCTGAGTCAGCGTGGAATAGTTATCGTACTGAAAGATAAAACAGGCCCCGCTGATAAATGAAATTCCCGTTAATAGTCGTTTATAAAGCTCCCGGATTCAGTTAACTAGAGTCCGGATGAAAAGCTGCAACGAAAGTGTTTGTTCATCATTTCCACATACGCGCTGACCAAGTGACGAATTTTGCAACAAATTTAGTTATCCTGTCCAACTGAACCACAGTTCTGATATAATTATGCTTACCGGTGATTTTAACGCTCAGGTGGGAAAACTGATATCCGAATCCTGTCTAGGAAGTCGTTCGGTTCTACTCACCAAATAAACATAATGGCAATCAACGACTTCAGTTTTGCGCAGGTCATCAGTTGTTCTTATCTAGCACCAATTTTTGATAGCCCTCGACGGACAGTAACATGTCAAGTTGACCACATGTCTATCATGTATGTGGCCCGGTCCAAAATCGTCCTTGATGTTGAACCATCTGCATTGAGTCCAATCACGCATTGGTTCCAATTTG